CCTTAAACATAATATATATAGTGAAAGATAGAGAATATATAAATTTTACCTTTATTGAAGAAAACTAGGTAGTTTTTTTTTATAACTTATTTAAGTATAAATTTAGTTTCAAAATTTTAAACAAATACAATTATTTAAAAGAAAAATAAAAACAATAAAAATTATATATATTAATAATTTTTTACACTTCAAATCATATAAAAAAATTGAAAAAAATGCCAAAACCAATATATCAGAAATCAAAGATTTAAAGTAAAAATTTCTTGAAAATAAATATTAGATAGATACTACCACAATGACCAAATCGTACTTTAGCATGAAAAAATAAAACGAATCAAATTTGTACTTTAATTTCTACAATACTCAATATATTTCTATATTATATAAATAGGAAAAATAGAAAACGATTTTTTAATAATTTAATTAATCGTAAACCAAGTAAACTCGATGGATTTTTCTAAATACATAATGTACCTACCATGGAGCTACATAGCGTATTTGGATGCATCATAGACACAGTGTTATCTACCGTTGCTTTTACTCCTTACTGGCAGTTTTGGAAAGAGGCGAATATGTTGTTTCACATAAGTTAGAACATCCTCAATGATTAAGAATCCATAGAGTTTCTTATATATACTAGGTTTTATATCCATTACTATGCGTGGATTTGTTTTATCTGTTGGTTTAAAATAATTTTGAATTTGCTTATTTTTGAATTACCTAGATGTCGACATATACGATTGTAAAAGTATAATGGTAGAAAGTGAAGCAACCGTAAAGAATAAAATAATTAATTTACCGTAAAAAGTAATATGTATTAGGAATTTTTTGCATGTATAAAAAGTCTTCTATATATATTATTTGGGAGGTGATTCTCTAAAAACGCTTATAATTCTATATACAGCTCGCGTGGAAAAACCATGGCGGATAAACACGGTGTTTCAGTACGATGAATTTCCGCTCGTCTTCAACAAACAAAAAGCTTGAGTAACTTAAAATAAAAGGTATGAGAAAATTACTCTGTATCTAAAGCCTTTTTTTTTTTACTTAAATTTCTCTCATTCTTTGTTCCTTCTCCCACTGTTGTTACTTTTTAACCTGTGTCAGTCAGTGTTGGTGTTTGTCTTTCTGTCCTGCTGCTGTATAATTCTGTACATTCGGTGGGTCATCAATATACTCTTTGGATGTAACTCTGTGATGAAATGAGAAGATTTCTGCTTGTTTCATAATTGTTATGTACAAAGCTAACAAGTTATAGCTTTCCTACTTTGGCATTTGGTCTAATTCCTTAGGTTCCAAATGGCTCTAGGCATTGAGGTTGAATCATCAAAGAAGTTTAGTTTGTTTAACTGTTTAAGTCTTTTGATGGGCAAAAGGGTCAAAGCATAGTGTGTTGTGTTGTGCTAATATCTTTTGGATATGGGAAGCATTCTAGCAAGCATGAGATGTAGGGTTTGGTCTTATAATAAGGACAAGAGAGTTAAAGAAACGTTATGTTGGAGGCAGCTATATAGAGATGTCTGCGTCTCACTGAGCATAAACACATGAATTTCGACTCCATTTTCTCATCTTTGAATAATTCCATCGTCTTGTCACCATTTCCTTTTGACAATCTATTGGTCTCTTCTTTGTTACTGTGAAAAAGCTATGAAAAAGACGATTTTTGTATTGAGTGATTTAAATCAAATCAACATAAATTTATCCAATTGATTCTCTTCATTCTGACTATGACTTTGACTTGAGTTGAAAACGATCCAAATTTCAGAAGTTATAGGACACTCGGACTCTCTGTAGCAGATCATGCAGCAGATTCACCTTCTGTGCTGGCTTCATCTTCCTCGAAAGAGTTGAAAAAATTGGCAAGTTTCTGAGAAACGGTTTGCTCCGACTCCGTCAATATTTTTTCTTCGCCTTTTAAATCATCATCCCCTTCGTAAACTAGATGAATCCCATGCATCTTCAGGTCAACGCCTTCTTTTAATGGTGGGTCTAGTTTGAACCTGTATGGTATATCCATCTTTCAACGTTGTAACCATTGAGTGCGGAGCTGAGTATCGACAGATGTGGAGTTGATCATTACTTGTTCTAGGCACTCCAAAGAGGTTGAGTGTGTGGATGTATTTGGGCTTGATCAATGTTTGATAAACTTTGACAATTTGGGCTTGAATCTCCACCACAGCAGGCAGCTGGTAGTCACCTCCGGTTTCGTGATTAAGAGCCACAACAACGGCCAGGATCACGCCTGTAAGTTCTCTATTCGGTTGAGCTGAGAATGTGATAGGGCCTTGCAAGAACCAGTCGGGGATTCTGTTTCCAGGCAAGCTCAGATTGTGCAGCATTTTCAAAGAAGCCTGCAGTGAGAAATTCAAAAGATTGCCAATAAGTTGTTAGTAAACCCCTGAAATCAAACTAATTGAGATTTTGTGGAGTTTGGGAAAAAATCACCTTGGACAGTCTTTTCTTTACTGCAAGGGAGCAGCTGGAATTACAACCACTCATGTATAACCGTCTCAGAGCCGCCAACTTCTCTAGGCCTGGAATATCATTCACTTTCTCACAGTTAGTGAGATTGAGCTCGTGCAAGATCTCTAGCTTGGAAAGGTCGGAAATACTCTCCAATGAAAAGCAGTTTGCCAAGCTTAGCTGCTCCAGTTTCCACGGAAGAGGGGGAAGACACTTGAGCTCTCGGCAGTCATACAATAAAAGTTCTCTGAGATTTGATAACCCCTCGAGGCTAGATGGGAGACTGTGAAAATAATTATTCCCCAGATTCACTATCTTCACAGACGAAAGCTTCTCAAGAACATCTGGGATTTTACCCGATATTCCCCAACTGCGAGCGTCCAGTTTTTCAAGTGACAAGAGGTTTGAGAAAGTGTCTGGTACTGCTACAAAACGAGGTTCTTTGCTTGTACTTGGAACACCACTCTCAGAACTTCTAAAAAGAGGCTTCTTCAGCATTTTCAATACCATTAAATTTGAAAGGTTTCCAAAACTTTCAGGCAAATCTGAGACCAAAGTTTCCTGCATGTGCAGATCGTGAAGAGATTTCAAGTCTCCAAATGAGTTAGGAAGTCTCCTGAGCATTTTACACTTGCTCATTCGTAGTAAGACAAGGTTTTCCAGCTTGCCAAAACTTTCCGGTAGTTCCTCAATGCTAGAGCCTTCAAGGTATAAGCTACGGAGTGTGTCCATAGCTCCGAATGACTTAGGCAGAAATTTCAGAGATTCACAGTTCATCAACTTGAGTTCTTGAATAAAGTGCAAATGACTAATCTCTTCTGGTAGAGTTTCAAACGGCGTCCTATCCAACTGAAGTCGGAGAAGAGAATTTAATCCACCAATTGAACTTGGAACCTGTTTCAGAAAATTGCAACCTCCTACTGACAAGTCAATCATACATGGCAGTGAGCCAGATTTTAGAGGAATAATTCTTTCAATGATATGAGCTCATTGATAGTGCCAGGTATATTAGAAAGGGATGCGCAATGAATCAAATGCAGCTTCTGGAGATTTTTTAGACATCCAATAGAACTCGGAAGATTTTTCAATGCAGTATCACTAAGATTTAGTTCTTCCAGTGATGTCAATGTTCCTACACAAAAAGGTATCTCTTGAATAGACTTGCAACCTCTTAGACTAAGCTTTTCAAGATTTTGAAGCCGATAGATAGAATCTGGTACATTCTTTATCGCAGTTCCATCAAGAAGAAGGCTTTTCAAGCATGGCATGGCGCCAATGTTTTCTGGTAACACACTCAGACTTGAACAGCCAGAGAGGATAAGTTTTTCAAGACGCTTCAGTCCAGAAACATCCACAAGAAATTCAGTAAGATTTAAACAGTCTCTGAAGTCCAGGTGAAGCAATGTTGTTAAATTACCAACTGATATAGGAACCTTCACCAGAAGGTTGCATCGCTCGAGAACAAGCTTCTCTAGGGCTTTATGGTTTGATAAATCGGGAATGGCTTCTAACCTGTAGCAACCACGCAAATTTACAACCTTCAAATTCTCATCCACCTGAAAGACAGATAGGAAAATTTTAGGATTGAGACATTAACTCAGAACTATATTATTCTTGCCCATGCTAGAGAAAATAAGAAAGCTTACCCTTTTGCTGCGCAAACTCTGGACTTGTCTTATTCCACTCTTTGAAAGATCAAGAACAGCAAGTTGCCGAGCAAGAAAATCCGGTGGAAGATTTTCTAAAGGGCAACCTTACCACTGTATCCACTTGAGTTCAGATGGGAGGCGTTTAAGGTTTCCTTCCAGTTCCACGTTATTAATCTGAAGAAGTCTCAACTTCATCATTGGTACAAACGACTCTACAGGAATGGTGATTTGAGAACTTTTTGGCTTTTCCGCTTCTCGAAATCGTATAAATTTGTTCTTCACGTAGCTACACAGAGAGTTGATGCCTTTATTCTTCGGTAGATTCCTCAACGCAATATCCTCTGCATTCAGGTCCCTTTCAGACTTGTTTTTCAAGTCAAATACCATTCCTCGAATGGATATTGTTCCCTGTTATCCCATTACAGAAGAAACGGTCATGGGAATGTAAGTAAAATAAAATTGATATATAACTCTAGATAAAAATACCTTCATATTACGGTCATAATTTCATTATGATCCCAGAGTCTACTTCGCATTCCAGGATCCTCACTGCTTTCTCTAAGGACCATCTGCCTACCCATGTCTCTAATCTGATCATGCGTCCACAAAGTATCGTGTGCCATCCTCTTAACAATCTTAATGAGAGATTTCTGTCTGAGAACACTTAGAGCAGCCTCAGCGTTAAACCCACATCCTTTCAGTACGTCGACAACTTCTTCTTTTGTTCTCTCCATATTGAGAAGGAGACACGCAACGTCAAGGAATACTTTCTTTTCTTCATCGTCTAAAGATTTAAAACTCAATGCCAGAACATCCTGAAGATCATTTGGTTGGGTACTTTTCAACTTCTCTAGTTGAGCTTCCCATTGCTTTTTCTCCTTCTTGTCATACAAAAGAGAACCAAACACTTCAACAGCCAGTGGCAACTGTCCTGTTATCTGGACAATCTTCTTGGACAAGTCCAATAGATTCGCTGTTGGTTTTTCTTTTCGTAATGAATGATAACTAAACAGCTTCAATGCCTGCATCTCAGTCACGCACTTGACCTCATACAGTTGGTTCACTGAGAGCTTAGTCAGAATCTCTTCATCTCTGGTAGTGATGACTATAAGACTTCCTTGACCATACCATCTTCTTTCACCAACCAGCGCATCAACCTGGTCTACATTATCAACATCATCCAAAACCGCAAGAATCTTCTTCTCATGAACATTTTCTCTTATCTTTTGCCGGCCTGTGTTAACATCTTCTATTTGAGGCATGGAAGAGTTAAGTTCATTGATGTAAGTTTTCTGGAGATTGACTAAGCCATCTTGGTCTGATGAACTTTCTCTGACGTTTGAGATGAAAACACGTTGCTTGAAGTTTCCAACAACCTTGTTATAGAAGGCTTTTGCAAGGGTCGTCTTCCCAATACCACCCATACCGTAAAGTCCCAAGACTTGAACGCCAGAAGTGGATTCAATGTCGAACAGATTCTTCAGATCATCGACACGTGATTCGAGTCCAACCGTGTAATCTCCAACTTTCTCAGGTGTATTGCTCAATTCAGCTAAAACCCTTTTCACCACTAGCCCTATCATGGCATCATCAACCGATGCATTTTGGCCAAATTCCCTAAAAACAAGCACATAATTTCAAACAAACAGCAATCACATCCTAAAGGAAGAACATTGGAGATGAGATATGGAGAGTCGTACCTCCAAACAAATCCAGAGAGATTTCCGACTAATTCCATAGCTCCCCTCCATCGCTCTATCTTGTCGCTAAATCTCTCCGCGTGTTTCTCAAAATCTTCCTTGAAATGATCACTTTGTTTGCGGACATGCGAGGGATTGACGTCACAAAAGATGGGTATAATCGGACGTTTCAGAGAAGCTCTCAGATCACAGAGCATAGCTAATTCATCAAGGCACCAGTGAGAGTTGGCGTAGTTACGGGATAAGACGACAACGGAGGCCGCCGAGTCCTCTATGGCTGCGATGAGACTTGGCTGGATCTTATCGCCTCGGTCCATACCGTCGTTGTCGAGGAAGACACGGACCTTTTCCTTCCTGTGGAGCGCGTCATAGACACGCTCCGTTATGTTGTGGCGCGTGTCTTCGCCTCGGAAGCTGAGGAACACGTCAAATCTGAGCCTCGAACCCGGTCTCGACACAGCGACAGTCTCCATCTTCGAAATCCAGTTTGAGATTGTTTTCGTGAAGGCGGAGAGAAAGCTTCATTATTGCTTTTAGTATTGCAAGCACACTAACACTTTTTTTTAATTTTGTTTTGGGGAAGAAGATGGAAGCCGTCCCGAACAACGGAAATTTCTCTTCTTCAAACCAGGAACGTCATGCAGCCAGGTCTTACACATGAATCGAGACGGCACGCACTGCTACACATAAATCGAAAAACGGCACTTATTGCTAATTCAAAGTTTGAAATTCTTACTTGTCGTGATGGTGGAGAGAGAGAAGTGTAATATAGTTAGTGCTACAGCAAACAAACGCGTTAGATTTTAATTGACTTTTTTTATCGACACGTGAGTTTGACAATATGTTTATTAAATAGTAAAACCCTCGAAAATTCTCGTTTATTGATAACGTACTCGAAAATGGGTTACAAGCAGCATACAAATAAGGAGAAATGAAAGTAAAAGATGTTGAGCTCGGAAGCTTATAAACTGACGAACCTTGTGCTTCGCGAATTAACTGAGTAACGTGATCGGTTTTTCTGAGATCGGAGATTGAGTGACAGGCAAGCGTAATGAGATCGGAAACTGAATGATAAGTACGTATTTTGAGGTCGGAACTTGGTGATAAGTGCTATGTGATCGGGATAAGTACGAACTCTGCAAACCGTTTTCTAACGAATTTTACGTACGAACAAAATTCTTTTTTTTTTTGGTGAGTTAGAGTCCTGAAAACCGTTGGTCTTTCAGATCTATTGTATTCTCTCCAAAAGGTAATAAGTGATGGATAATAGAAGGTGGGGGACCCCTATTTATACTAGATTGAAGGAATACATTAATCTAGGATTTCCTTTGGGACTTGAGTTGGACTTTTAATTCTGCCGGGCCGAGTTCGGCGAGATGGATTTTATAATTTGTCAATTATGAAGCTCATGTCCAACATTTTCTACGGATTTACTTTTATTATTAGTGTTTTGATCAGTCGACTTTTTTATTCAGTAATTTAAATCTGGTAGATCAAATAACATTAGTCTTATCTAATTGATTCTCTCCACTCTTCAAGAGTCTCCAAGTCGTGTGTTTCTGTTCACAATTTGATTGAATCCATGAGTTTAAGATTTCATTTTGCTCCAATTTAATGGTCAATGTTGAACCGATCAAAACAATTCAGTGAGTAAATTAAATATCTTACTTAGTCTTGATACTACTAGGACACAGAACGGAATCGCAAATGATAACTTTTAATTCTTCAAATGCAAAACTTTCAGATATCAGTTGAATTCATAAAAGCTCATAATTATGGAAACAAGAGTCTCCTCTTTTTGGTTTTTTTTTTTATTGATTTTAAAAGCAAATGTTAAGAAACAAACTACACATTGCAGAAGGAATAAGCTTAATGAAGCAAACAAGCATTGAAATAGGAGCAACAATATATATTTTTTTTTTTAGTAAGCAAACAGTTTGTATCGACAAGATGGTTTGTGTGCAGTTTTTGAACTTCTCTGAGGAAGCAGATCAGGTAACAGTAGCATCACCTTCTGAGCTAGATTCACCTTTTTCGAAAGTGCTGAAAAAATTAGCAAGTTTCTGAGAAACGGTTTGTTGTGTCTCGCTTAAACTAGTTTCTTTGCCTTCTAAATCATCATCCCCTTCGTAAACAAGATGGATCCCATGCATCTTTAGCTCAACGCCTTGTTTGATTGGCGGTACTCGTTTGATCACCTGTATGGTGTACCCGTCTTTCAACATCGTAACCATTGGGTGGAAAGCTGAGTATCGGCAGATGTGGAGTTGGTCATCACTTGTTCTAGGCACTCCAGAGAGGTGCAATGTGTGGGTGCACACGGCAAAATCAAGTTTGAGAATTTGGGCTTGAACCTCCATCACATCAGGCAGCTGGTAGTCATCTTTGATTTCATGGTCAAGAGCCACAACGACAGCAAGGATTACGCCTCTCAGCTCTCTGTTCGGTTGAGCTGAGAATGAGACAGGGCCTTGAGAGAACCAGTCTGGTACTCTGTTTCCAGGCAAGCTCAGATTCCGCAGCATTTTCAAAGAAGCCTACGGTAAGAATTTAAAAGAGTGTGTGTAAGCAAGTTTGTAACAAACACTAAGATTCAACTAATTGAGATTCTGTGGAGTTTTTCGGAATTACCTTGGAAAGTCTTTTCTTTACTTCAAGGGAGCAGCTGGAGTTACAGCCGCTCATGTATAATCGCTTCAGTGCGATCAATTTCTCTAGGCCTGGAACATCATCCACTTTCTTACAGTTTGTGAGATTGACATCGCGCAAGATCTCCAACTCGGAAAGGTCGGAAATACTCTCCAATGCAAAGCAGTTAGCCAGGTTTAACTGCTCCAGTTTCGATGGAAGCGGGGGAAGACATTTGAGTTCTCGGCAGTCATACAATAAAAGTTCTTTGAGACTTGATAAACCCTTGAGGCTAGCCGGAAGACTGTGAAAATAATTATTCCCTAGATTCAGTATCTTCATAGAAGACAGCTTCTCTAAATCATCTGGTATCTTACCCGATATTCCCCAACTGCGAGCATCCAGTTCTTCAAGCGACACGAGGTTTGAGAAAGAGTTTGGTACTTCAACAAAACGAGGTTCTTTGCTTGTACCTGGAGCATCACTCTCAGAACTTCTAAAAAGAGGCATCTTCAGCATTTCCAATACCATTAAATTTGAGAGGTTTCCGAAACTTTTTGGCAGCTCTACCACCGAAGTTTCCTTCATGTACAAATGGTGAAGAGATTTCAAGTCTCCAAATGATTCAGGAAGCCTCTTGAGCATTTTACACTTGTTCATTCGGAGAGTGACTAGGTTTTCCAGCTTGCCAAACTCTTCCGGCAGTTCCTCAACGTTAGAGCCCTCAAGGTGTAAGCTATGGAGTGTGTCCATATCCCCGATTGATTCAGGCAGAACCTTTAGAAATTTGCAGTTCCTCAACTCGAGCTCACGAATAAATTTCAAGTCTCCAAGTGCTTCTGGAAGAGTTTCAATTGGGGTACTATCCAACTGAAGTTGGAGAAGAGAATTTAGACCACCAATTGAACTCGGAACCTGTTTCAGAAATTTACAACCTCCTGCCGAGAAGTCAGTCAAACATGGCAGCGAGCCCGGGTTTAGAGGTAGCTCCTCCACCGCGCTTCCGTTGATGAATAAATTCTTCAATGATATGAGCTCATTGATACTGATAGGTATCTTAGAAAGGGATGTGCAGCGCACCAAATGCAGCTTCTGGAGATTTTTAAGATCTCCAATAGAACTCGGAAGATTTTTCAATGGAGTATCATCAAGATAGAGCTTCTCCAGTGATGTCAATGTTGCTATGCACGAAGGTAGCTCTTGAATAAACCTGCAACCTCTTAAACTGAGCTTTTCAAGCTTTTGAAGGCGATAAATAGAATCTGGTACGTTCGTTATCGCAGTTCCATCAAGAAGAAGCTCTTTCAAGGATTTCATGTCACCAATGTTTTTTGGTAACACACTCAGATCTGAACAGCCAGAGAGGAAAAGTTTTTCAAGACATTTCAGTCCGGAAACATCCACACGAAATTCAGCAAGCTTTGAACAGTTTCTGAAGTCCAGGTGAAGCAAAGCTTTCAGATTACCAACTGAGCTAGGAACCTTCACCAGAAGCTTGCATCGCTCAAGAACAAGCTTCTCTAGGGCTATATGGTTTGATAAATCAGGAATTGCATCTAAGTTGTAGCAACCACGCAAATTTAGAACCTTCAAATTTTCATCCACCTGAAAGATGGAGAAATTTTTTTTAGCATTGAGACTTTAACTCAAAACTACACAAGTCCCCATGCTAGAGGGAATAAGAAAGCTTACCCTTTTTCTCTGCAAACTCTGGATTCGTCGTACTCCACTCTCTGAAAGATCAAGAACACCAAGTTGCCGAGCAAGAAAGTCCGGAGGGAGATTTTCTAATGGGCAACCTTTCCACTGAATCCACTTGAGTTCAGATGGGAGAAGTGTAAGATTTCCTTCCAGTTCCACATTATTAATCTGAAGAAGTCTCAATTTCGTCATTGGTACAAAAGGCTTTACGGGAATGGTGATTTCAGAACTTTTTGGCTTTTCCTCTGCTGGAAATCTTACAAATTTATTTTTTAGGTAATTAAATGCAGAGCTGATTCCTGGATTATTGTGTAGATTCCTCGATGCAATTTCATCAGCAGTCAGGTCCCTCACAAACTTCTTTTTGAAGTCAAATACAATTCCTCGGATGGACGCTGTTCCCTGTTATCCCATTACAGAAAAAGATCATGAGAATGTGAGCTAAACACATATGATGTACAAGTGTAGATAAACTTACCTTCATATTGTTCAATACGGTCATAATATCACCACGATCCCAGAGTCTACTTCGCATTCCAGGATCCTCACGACTTTCTCTAAGGACCATCTGCCTACCCATGTCTCTAATCTGATCATGCATCCACAGAGTATTGTCTGCCATGATCTTAAGAAGAGATTTCTGTCTGAGGACACTGAGAGCAGCCTCGGCGTTAAATCCACATCCTTTCAGTATGTCGACAACTTCTTCTTTGGTTATCTCCATTTTAAGGAAGAGACACGCAATGTCGAGGAATACTTTCTTTTCTTCATCTTCTAAAGATTCAAAACTCAGCCCCAGAACATCTTGAAGATTGTTTGGTTGGGTGTTTTTTAGCTTGTCCAGTTGAGTTTGCCAGTCCTTTTCCTCCTTCTTGTCATACAAAAGAGATCCAAACACTTCAACTGCCAACGGCAACAGTCCCGATATCTGGACAATCTTCTTCGACAGCTCCAATAGACTTTCAGTTGGTTTTTCTTTTCGTAGTGAATGATAACTAAACAGCTTCAGCGCCTCAATCTCAGTCAAGCACTTGACCTCATACTCTTGGTTCACTGAGAGCCGACTCAAAATATTTTCATCTCTGGTAGTGATGACTATAAGACTTCCTTCACCATACCATGTTGTTTCACCAACCAGCGCATCAACCTGGTCTACATTATCAACATCATCCAAAACCGCAAGAATCTTCTTCTCAGGAACATTTTCTTTTATCTTTTCCCGGCCTGTGCCAACATCTTCTATTTGAGGTACCAAACGGAAAAGTTCCTTGATGAAAATTTTTTGTAAATTGACTAATCCAGCTTGGTCTGATGAACTTTCTCTCACGTTTGAGATGAAAACACGTTGCTTGAAGTTTCCGACGATCTTGTTATAGAAGGCTTTTGCAAGGGTCGTCTTCCCAATACCACCCATACCGTAGAGACTGAGGACTTGAACGCCAGAAGTGGATTCAATGTCGAACAGATTCATCAATTCCTTTACACGTGATTCCAGCCCAACCGTGTAATCTCCAACTTTCTCTGGTGTATTGCTCAGTTCAGCTAAAACCCTTTTCACCACAAGCCCTATCATGTCATCATCAACTGAGTCTTTTCTGCAGAATTCCAAAAACAAAAACACAGAATTTCAAATAAGGCATCCTCCTATAAACCCAATTCATCGTGTGTATGTCTACATGATTATAAATGCAGTTGTCAAGGCAGAACATTGGAGAATAGATATGGAGAGTCCTACCTCCAAACAAAGCCAGAGAGATTTCCGACTAATTTCATAGCTCCCCTCCACCGCTGGATCTTGTCCTCGCCAAATCTTTTCGAATGCTCTTCAAAATCTTTGGCAAAATGATCGTTCTGTTTACGGACATGAGAGGGATCGACCTCATAAAAGATGGGTATCATCGGACGTTTGAGAGAAGCTCTGAGATCACAGAGCTTAGCTAACTCATCTAAGCACCAGTGAGAATTAGCGTAGTTCCAGGATAAGACGACGACGGAGGCAGCCGAGTCCTCTATGGCTACGACGAGAGTTGGATGGATCTCATCCCCTTTCTGCATACCCTCGTTGTCGCGGAAGACCCGAACCTTCTCCTTCCTGTGGAGCGCGTCATAGAGACGCTCCGTGATGTTGTGGCGCGTGTCTTCGCCTCGGAAACTGAGAAACACGTCAAATCTGAGCCTATGCGGCTTAGAAACAGCGTCAGTCTCCATCTCCCCCGATCTTCCTCTTCTAAGAAGACGAGAAGGTGGAGAGAGTCTTCGTGAAGCTTAGCTACTGTTTAAGTAAACTCTGAGGATTTTGCGTGCTCTTTGAAATCTCACGACCCGCAGTCAACTCCGATCACCTGCAATCACTCCATGGCAGTCGATTCTTGCTCGGATTTGCAAATTTCTTCACTCTCTCTCTCTCCTTCTCCGGCTCGACGGTGGTCAGAGAGGAACTCACGGAACCATGTCGGAAGTCAGATCGGTTTCCCACTTTTGCAACCACGATCCAGAATCTAGTTTAGATCACCTTGGCTAC